AAAGCGGTTGTCAGGCATGAGTTCGATTTACAAATGCAAATTCATATTATGCACAGACGAAAGTCCACGCACCTACATAATAGCGACTGTCGAGGTGTAATAAACGTCCAAATACGCCCACGAAACGCTGGGATTTACCTTCCAAACTTAAACGAAGCACACATGGGTAGCCGACATCTGCAATGGGTTATTGCGCATGACCGGATGTCGGGTGAGATATCGTATTTTCCGCAAAAGGGTTATAAATAATAGTCGACAACAACAAATTCTATGGTGATGTGTAGGGGGCAAAATAAGAAAGTAGTTTGGAACAGATAATATTTATTGCCTTTCCGTGGATTACAATAATTTCCCCATGGAATAATGTCATTGGATGAGCAAAAATACACAAGTCTCACAGCGGGGTATATAAAGGCTCAAAATATCAGATAAAATCATTTCTCTACAAAGCTGCAACGTACGGGTAAATATGGATTGTCCTTGTATCAATCATGTGGAATTCTCACTTGGTCGCACAGACTTGCATCCACAAAACATCAGGAAATGCAAACAAATCAAAGTTGCACTCATACAAAGCCAACCCAGAACTTTTTATGTCAACCATGTTATGAATATGCCAAAGAACATTTTGTGCCAACATGTGAGAAGTTCAATCCGAAAGATGTGGCACAGAACACTGTGGATGGTCAATATGACACCGATGAATTGACTCTCATTGTCAATGCACTTGGACAATCCAAAAACCAAAGTTTATCGGAAGATGCAGAGGCTATTGGTCATGAGTATAGAGATATGACTGAATTACAATCCTTTGACAGCAAAGACTGGTCAGAACAGAGAAATACTGTCACAGTTGCCTTTTTGAAGGGTGCCCCAGGCACAACAGATGCATCAGGGAAACATAAAATGGGCAGGCTAGTGCGATGCTATGAGCAGTTGTTATCCACACGTAAAAGTGGACTTGAGGCCCCACTAACGTTTGTGCTCAATCTCATGTTGTATCTCATGACAGGTAGTAAGGGTGGATGTAGTGTAAATGCAGCCTCAAGCCCTTGTGGCTCGTACAGTACCATTCAAAAATGGCTTCACACTATTGGCAATGAGCCATATATATGTCCAGTATCTGGGGATATGGTTACTTTTTTCAACAATAACCAGGTCCATGCAAGGAATTGGTGTGTCCGTTATGACTGCAAGGCCCTTATCAGTGTTATCCCAACCATCTTGCATATGGATTATAAGTGGTTAGTGTACACGCCAGCTGCTATTGCAGAAACCAATAGATGCAAGGGATGTTTGTGGGATGTTCAGGGAACACAGGATGCGCTTCCTCAATGCACAAATTAAAATTGTCCTCTCTGAACAAGAGCTTGGTAGCCTTATAAGAGATGTCATTGATGCCCCTCCTACAAAAAATTAGAGTGACGTAAGACAGGTAGAATATGAAGTACAAAATGTTGATGATGGGGTCGGTTCACTAAAAAAAAAAACATGTTCGGAAAAATATGAAATTAGTGAAGCAATGAGCATTCCCGAACCAAACTTAATCATTGGAAATCCTGTTCATGTAAATCCCTGTTCCTACGATTCATGCAAACGGGTGTTACAGCACATTATGGTGGAAACCCATGTATGGGGTGGTAGACAGTGGACAGTGGTTGGGTGTGATGGGCTTCCCTTTAACCTGACATCTCGACTAATTGCCTCAACGTATCAGTGCGCCATATGTCAGGAGTGTTGCAGTGGGTCAGATGATTTCCGACAACACATGGTGACGTTACACAACCTGCACGATTGTGAAATAAGAAAACACCTGGCTTTTGGTCGCCTGTAACTTGTCCCCGGTCCCGGCCATAAGGAAATCAACATGGTTCGTGCCATATTTAAGTTGTTGTGGCCCTTGGTCAATTACAGGTTTAGCAGGTAAGCTAGGGTATAGATCACCCAAGGCATTGTCTGCATGTGAGAATGCCTCCGATCACCACAAGGTGCAGCAGTCACTTGAGATCTTGCTCATGGGAACAACCAGGGAACTGTTGTTACCATATGTCAGAGATACCATCCGCAAAGAACAAAATCCAACAACAGACGGATATGCCAAATGGATGCTCACTGTCAAGAATGACAATTACAGTTTCATTGTCGATTCCATTCTGACATATGTACTCTCTATATATCTATTCCGAGCTGGAATGAGGCGTGGGAACCAAAATCTTGCTCGGGAGAGTGAAACCCTTGTCAGTGATCTGTCCTACGGCCTCAACATGACACAATATCAAGAACTGACGTTCAGGTACTTAAAAACTACACTTTTATTATAACTATACAATCTCATGCCATTTAACGATAGCATCATATTGCAATTAACGTTCCATTTGAATTATCTCCCTCTGCAATTATTGTGTTAAATGTAAGTATGAACTGCAGTATATTATGATACATTCTGATTTTATTTTAGAAAGCAGCATCCGCCGCATTAAAAGATGGATGCCCCCTGGCCTACCAACACCCACGAGATGGGATAGGATATGCCACAACATTGACAGACTTGAGAATGTAAGTAAATATGAGACATTTACTAAACGTGTCATCGCCCGTGTCTGTCCCCGCCACCCCTACCCCAGAGCCACAATGAATTAAACAACAAACACGTACATTGTTTTACATATTTTTATGGTATACGCCGAGGACAATAGAATGGAATTGATTTAAATTTTTTGAGGTCCTTGTCCTTCACATAATGGCCAGTACATCTGTAATGTACCCAGTATATGTACTGGCCACCATCACACCCGACTCAGGGACCCTTCTCTTCGTCCCCCGGCCCATCCCTCTCGATCCCACACAGGGAACAGTGATTTTCGTCTGGTGTTCTAAAGTGGGACGGGTCAGTCTGCTGTTCCCTGTGAAGGGTAGTTTCTCCAGGAGAAGGGAACCTGGCCCCTGATGTCTCGGGAGACTTGCACGTACTGGTTTTTTTCTGCCTATAAAAAGAAAAAAAATTCACAGTATTCAGTTATGAATATATATGTAAGTACGTTACATAAGGAATACATTTCTTGTACATATGTCTAAAAATGTTATTTATATCAATATATTTTCTGTATGTACACACCTTGTATATATTGAGCATGCCTGGCGTGCCCCAGTGAAATGTTTGATGGGTGTGAGTTGTAACCTTTGCATATATCTCAGCTCCAGTTAAACTGGCTAATTTCATACCCTGTTGACAATATATACATTTCTTTTATGGAACAGATGAGTGAGTGAGTGAGTGAGTTAAAGCTTTACGTCACATCGGCAATATTTGAGCCATATCGTGACGATGGAACAGATGAAACAACAGATGATGCATGTATTGGACATCCAGCTGCCAGATGACACCGAATAAATGCATGTAAAGGATCTGTCCACTGAGGTTGACATGTGGAGGAGACACCTTCGAAAGAATGGCTACCTGTCCCGTCCCCAGGAGCAAGGTGTCCAGGTCACATTGTCAGGGATCCCAGTGGACAAGGTTCTTGTACATTTTGCATCTAAATGCAAGAAGAACCGGACGGATTATTGCCAGGATGTTGTCACTTCCCAGGATAACGGTCGTATCCATCGTCTGGAACCAGTCTTTATATTTACCACAGACCGTGATAAATATTTTGACCTCAGCCGCCGGAGAAATGAGGACATTAAAGCAGTTATCCTTGGGGACATTGAGGTGATCCGTGACATGGGTGCCGATGATGTTGCGGATGCCCTTTCATTAACCTACCACAGGGACATCAAGCACAGTAGGGAAAACCTCTTGTTGACATTCCTGCGTGATGTTGCAGAGGTTCGATACCAATGGTATGTTTATACTTATAGCTTTACAATTCATTTGTTTTAATTTCACATTTCATTGACACATTGTATTGTGTCATCAACAATTACCTTTTTGAAAAAAAAAAAAATTCCGCATGTGAAGCGCACTTGATCTTTTTTTGCTGCCATCCAGATAAGTATTTCCTCCTTTCCCACGTTGGTGAATTTTAGCTCTGGAACAATGCCGTCCCCTGTTGGGAACATTTATTTGTTGGGACATTATAAAGTAATCAGTAGTTTATAAGGTACATGTCTACGTTGCAGGAACCTCTGGCGGCCCTCACAACCACGTGACAATAGAGAATTATTTTCATTTTAATAAGGTAATATATTTTAAACCTCACGTATTCGCCTCACAATGTTGCTTATGTCACAAATATTATATTGTATGATTTTTTTCTGATTATCACTATTACTTTTCAGATCAAATTCTTTACCTTGCTTGCTATTGTGGATGGGGTTGCTGCTTCTTCACCGGATTCCGTGTCAGACATTTCCATTTTGCTCCATGTGATGAGTATGTTATCTGATATGTTGAGCCTTTATATACCCAGTGAGACTTGTGTATTTTTGTCCGACCAATGACATTACTCCATTGGGCAATTATTGCAATCCACGGAAAGGCAATAAATGTTATCTGTTCCTAACTACTTTCTTATTTTGTCCCCTACACATCACCATAGAATTTGTTGTCGACTATTATTTATTACCCTTTTGCGGAAAATACGATATCTCACCCGGCATCCGGTCATGTGCAGTAACCCATTGCAGATGTCGGCTACCCACATGTGTTTCGTGTAAGTTTGGAAGGTAAATTTCAGCATTTTGTTGGTTTATTTTTGTATTTAGTGAATTGCTTGTGTATTTGGACTTTTATTACTCCTCGACAGTCGCTATTATGTAGGTGCGTGGGCTTTCGTCTGTGCATAATATGAATTTGCATTTGTCAGTCGAACTCATGCCTGACAACCGCTTTGCGGAAGTACGCATTAAAGGCACACTCCCTTGTTTTGATCGATTCACCCTTGCAATAGACCGAATGAATATGTATTGTAGCTCATTTCATCTATTATAGCTGGTATCATCTATTATAGCTCGTTTTAGGGGTAACCCGGACCTGAAGAAATATTCACATGTACCTGTTAAGTATAGAATCGTGTCCACAAGCTTCTTTCCCACAGCATGTTTTCATCAGTCTCGGTGATTATTTCTGCCGACTTTCTGGAGGCTGCTCCCAAACCAGCCGCTGCTCGTTCCTTCATGACAGCGTCCAATGCTGCTCTGGCCTCTCTAAATTCGTCGTCTTCAAACAAATTGGATTTTGAATACTGAGCTTTCAAGTGCGATTGAAAAGCCCCATACAAGCCATACAAGGTGTTGGATGGATAGTTGGTACGATCTTTCTTTGCCGCTTCAAATAGAACATACTTCAAAGCGATGTTCAGATCAGCTGCACTCATTTCGCTCAGTTCAGTTTTTAAACACTCACTTGGTATGTCCAAATTATTATCAATACTCCTACTTCGCCTTTCTTCTCGCCATCTCTTGAACACTGACAGAGCCCAGTCAATCTTGTTTTGGGGAATTCGCTTTTCAATTTTATCTGTCAGCTCTTTCTCGTTCAAAGGTTCCTTGAAACGAAACAAAAAGTCATCGTCACTCTCTGCTTCATCACTCTTTTCAACGGTTTTGGACTGGGTTATGAACAGTTCTCTGTCGCAGTCTGACACATCCATCTTGTCTCCGTCAAATGAATATTCTAACAGGTCATGTGATGCCGCGTAATGAAAATTCCGTGCAGCAAGTGCGGCCGTGCGCGCTGTTTTAAGATTAGGCCATGCTCCTCGATATACCAGCTGGGTACCACCAAGCGCGGTATAAACAATGCAGCGTTAGGACCGGCAGTACTTGGATAAAGGATACTGTTTTATTTGATCATTAAAATGTAATCTTTTCATTTGACGGTTCATATGTTGGATAAAGTACTCGTCCCCGGTCGCGGTCGGTCTTACTTTTACACTTCTTTCTCACTGAGGTCCTTACTTTTCCAATCATGATGGAGGACGAGTACTTTATCCTACACATATGGGCAGAAGTAGTTGCACCGGTCTCAGCGATCGCCAGTCGGTCGCAAAGGAATTCAGTCGCCATAGTTGCATCGCGGTCGCATTGTCTGTGTGACTGTAGCTTAACGCGTTGCCCATGCGTGTAAAAGGAATGAACTTCTAGGCTGTAGTGTATCAACCAGTTATGTTCTGTAGTCGACGTGAGCCACATCTTAACGTTGCCAGAGCCACAGGAAACGTTTTGTATAGTGACATAACCAGTCTATGGTTCGACGCCAAAAAAAATAGGTTTAAATATATAGAGTACGAACACGTTTTAGAGCCTAAGGATAGGGAGGCATGCCAATCCTGTTCATATGTTGTGTTCTCACCATAAACTCTGAAACAAAAGAATCCATATTGCCACTAGACTTTTATTCCCAGACAAGACCAAATCATATCTTACAGGTTAATAAGAACACGTTTATATTTCCATGCTAGCATCCAATAATAAAAGAATATAACCTGTTTTGGGAAATCGACAACAGCTTATTTAATAGAGCGTTTTTTAAGAATATATATATATATATATATATATATATATATATATATATATATATATGTGGGGGATACCATGGACAATGTGGTTGGGTGTGGATAGTCTCGATACAAACAGCTAATAGCAGATTCTTTAATTAGCATTAAAGATACTCTCGTCTAAAAAAGTAAAGATAGCTTTGTTTGCTATATCGTCAAAGCTATGGTATACTCATGTACATAAGGATTTAATAGGTCACAGACCAATTAACTGGAGTTTTGTTGCAATTACAATGGTGTAGAGTGCAGCCATCGTAGCCAAGAGCCTACACCCTGCCATGATGCAGTTTGACCAATTCTAGAATTGTGTGTATCTCTCAAGAAGGCCGATTTGCCTGGTGCCTCGTGGTTGGTGAAAACGTCTAATCCTTGCCCTCCATATGTCCACAGACGCTGCGAATAACACACGGAATTCGATACAGGCCCCTCCATATTACTTATATGAACGACTGTTGTAACCGGCTTTTGGTAGCTTTGGACATCACCTGATATTGTCCCTCCAATACGAGTTACCGGCTCCAGAGGTGGTAACTCCAGGGTTAAAAAAATATATATTTACACAATGTGGTATTAATAAACAAAGAAAACACTAATGACAAGAACCTAATTATGATCATGTCCAAAGATGATCTCTTTAATTTACTCAACCGGTTTCACCAATGTGAATTTCAAGAGGACATTTATACCGATTTGCTATGTTGATGTCACAGTACACTCTAACATAGTTTGATGTTATTTTGTAATTTAAAATAATCATGACGTCACAGTACAGAGGCGCAGAGCGTTGTGAGGGCCGTGTCTGCTACACATACCGTATTACCAAAATAAGTATTACGGTAGCAGGAATATGAACAATAATTATATAAATTAATTCAATTATTTGAGGCCGTTTAATATTGGTTTGAAAGTATTAAATATAAAATAACTTTCCATTGTCTTTCTCAGTGCATCATTTTCACATTTGTAAAACGGGAATATAACAAAATTTCGTGCTTTTTTCCTGGCACACTGATCAATGTGTTGACTGGATGGGATGCATCGCCAAGAAGGATACCGGTATTGTTTTGTTGTTGGTGGATTCTCATTCTCGGTATTAGGGTATCCCCTGTCTGTCCAATGTATAATGTACACTACTTCGCATCTAGCGCATTGTATGACGTTAAGCACGTTATGAGAGTAATGGGTTATACTGGACTTCCTCATTGATAACATCTATGCACAATTTGGGGGAAGACATGTAGGCAAGATGTAGGTGTCCCCATGGGCACGAATTGTGCTCATCTCTTGCGGATATGTTTCTTGATGCATATTAATGGGAACTTCTGCTCGGACTGGCACAGCCAAAACAGGGTAATTTAGCCGAGAAGTTTCTATTCAGCATCAGGTATAGTGATGATCTGATATCGTTCAATAACCATCAAATAGCCATTCCGATCCCTTCCACTGATTTACCCATCTGAACTAGTGAGATTAGTGAGACCGGCCCATCCACTTCATATTTAGATCAAGATTCAGAGTGACCAAACAAGACAAGACAAGAGACAAGAGGGATTACTTCATGATCAACTTTCCAATAGTCAACTTTCCCCTTATGTCGATTATTATCCCAGATTCAGCCTTTGGTGTTTAATTTTTTATATACAATCGAGCATGATCTTTATACCAAGATTTCAAAGCGCGTCATACGACTCTTGCTCGGAAGTTGTTAGATAAAGGTTACAACATTCAAGGCCTCAGGAAAGCTTTCAAAACGTTTTATGGTAGACATGTGGAGGACATGTGAAATTTGACGCATCACTGACAAAATGATGTCCGATGCAATACCCTATTTTGACTTGTACCATACGTTCCCGTGTTTTTTTCAGGTGAACAATTGTCTTTCCTTTGTGTGTGTTTGTGACAGGTGCCCCCGATTTTCGCGAACACCTGGTGTCATCACTATTTGATAGTGATTCATAAACACATGCTCCTAATAGAGTTGGCGTCCAAATAGCCAAGTACGAGCCCGCACTTTAGGCGTTGAGAATGTGAACATATTCATCTTTAAAGACTAAGTAATACAGATTTCTACGAACTGACTCTGAAATGATTGATGTCTTGTTGCTAAATGGCCCGTTGCAAACAATATAAACAACATGCGTGAAATCAACGTGAAGCAAATCTTTATTTCCCAGTGAGACAAACTGAAAATAACGTTCACTGTCCCACCTGCCCCTACGGTAAATATGTTGAATGGTGTTTTAATATTCAGTTTATATTATGATAGGAAAATCTGAATTGATGTACCACCAGAAGGAAATTAATGCTTGGAAGACAACTGATTGAACCTTAATGAACAAAGCAAGTTATCAATACATGTGGACATTACATCACATTACACGGTATATCCATGCAATAAATTGTTTTGTAAGTACTGCAAAAACAGAAATTGTGAGGTTTTAAGCTGACAATGTTTTAGCATATCAAGCGATAACAGAAGTTGGATATATACAAGTTTTGGACGACAAGTAACAAATCTGGCCTCTACAGATCTACTATATCAAGCACTGTAATATGTTAAAGGAGGGGTAGCACTTCTCATCGGGTACTTTTTTTCTATGGAAATAACTCCTCTTTAGAGCCCCATCTGAACATGGTTTCATCCGCATGTGCCCCCAAATGGCCTACCTTGCATCTGTGCACCTGAGTGCTGATTCGTACTCCGGATTGTAATCACGGATCAACACTCAATGATGTTGTATATAGCTAGCCACCATGTGTTTCCGGATCGGTTGCACGATGACAAAGGACGGAATTTTGAATCTAAGCTTACTTGGGCTTTGGGCAGGATTGCAGGTACAGTGACCACTAATACCCCACTTTGTCATCCTATGGTGAATAACATGGCGTGAGGGACGGTGGGATAGCCTAGTGGTTAAAGCGTTCGCTCGGCATGCCGGAGCACCCAGGTTCGATTCCCTCCATGGTTACAATGTGAAGCCAATGTCTGGTGTCCCCTGCCGTTATGTTGCTGGAATATTGCTAAAATCGGTGTAAAACCTTCATAAGCTTTCTCACTCACTGATATTGCGGGAAGGAGGTGTATATTTCATGAATACAATATTATTAGACACGCTGATAGCACAGGTCCGATCCTATTTCTTTCCAATATTCAGGCTTCATCCATTGATAGTTTTATATGTCTTTTCAGCTCGGTTATTTTATAATACTTATAATTTCAGAGTTATTTTATAATACTTTTCACTAATGACATAAAGATCATACGACAAATTTCCCAAGATATTGGTTCTCCAAGCTATCTCATTTTGGCTTGTAGAGCCCACCTTTTCGTGGTCTATCATATGCAGCCCATACCATTACTATAGAGGCAAAACAGATATATATCTCAATATAGTTACTTGTGGGATGCTTCCACTACGCATCAGGCAATCCGGCCATCACAAGACGCACTCAGTAATAGTCATATCTTATGGTTTTAAATACAACACCTTGATAATCTAGTCGTCTTTGTTGACGAATTTTATATATTTCTAAATGTATTTATTGTGATAGTATCATCGCTATAAGAGTGCAATATTGCCGATGCGATGTAAAATGTTAACTCACTCACTCTTGCATACACACACCTAAAAAAATCGGTTGCTTTTGAAACATACCCCACAGTCGCGTTTCAAGCTGTCACCTGGCAATTATGTTTATGTTGTATTAAACATGTAAATTAACATATATATTAATTTGGGCTGTCGCTTGCATAAACGCACGTAAATATATTATCAAATGAAGCAAAATATATGTGTCATCAACGCATTTACACTCTTTAAAAAAGGAAACGCACCGGTAGATTTTTACTAAATTTATTGTATCTAATAAAGTCAATATATTTGATTTAATATCATAGATACAAATATGAAATTTTTGAGCTCGATAGTCACATGTTGTCGTTGTACAAAGGCATTGAAAACTGTTTATTATCATGTCACATAAGGCCACAAAGTTGCGCTGAACTCAGTATCTTGTGTGACCGCCACGGGCAGCAATTACAGCCCTGCATCTCCTTGGCACTGTGGATGGATAAGTTTACGAATTCTGTCCTGCGGAATTCAGCGACATTCTGCTTGTAACGCGTTGGCAAGTTGTGGGAGTGTCTGCTGCGTGTTCTGACGATGACGTACACGTCGATCGAGTGCATCCCAGAGGTGTTCAAATTGGGGACTTCGCTTCGAAACATATTTTGACAAATTCTCGATTACACATTTGAAACCTGAACAAAAAACATTCTGGAATGGCTAATAGATGGTCTTGATTGTAAGGATTCAGTCGTTAAACTCGTAACTATTTTTCGGAATACACTATGTTAAAATGTGTGAGGTTGTATGATTAGAAATCACATTCCGACTGTCACTTTCATAATCTGGTAAGCGACGCACTGATTGGTCGGATGAAAGGTCGTTCTGACGTGACTCCTAACGGGATGTCTTCAGATCTTTGTTTAGCGGTAGCGAGAACTAAGGTCTGATTTTAATGAGATTGAATATAGAATTTATGTGGCTGACATCTTGAACCATTGTCATGAGAAGCCTGTGGTAACATTGTGCGATAATTTGGTTAATGCCAGATATTTGAGATTCTTATGTTTTGGTAATGTGTGTTACATATATAAGTTCAGCTAGATTACTAGATCATGTGATGCATGATGACGCGAGTTGGGAAATACTCGTTCCATTAATAGGCACATGTACAGTTAAATGTCGTTATGTAAAATCCAGATATCTAGAACAAGAACGTCTTCCTGCAAATTGTGTTCAATAAGGGTAAGTGACAACAAAGTCAGGAACACCCTGGTCGGATAAATGGGAGAACATATTCTTAGCACAGCCCCTTAATTGCCACGACCGTCAACAGTAAAATCCACAGCATGCTGTTGACTAATAAATATTAATTCCAACGCTTTATGTGAACATAAGATATACACTTAATTATATGTGATCATGATGAACATCCCATTCCCATACTATATTTGTCTTGTCGCCGTTTAGATGGAATCCAACGCAAATGCAGCAACAATTTTTCATGGATGGTTTGTACATTCGACCAAAGATAATGACCTTGTTACAATGAAAGATATGGTCATAGGAGTAAACAAGGGAAAGGTAAGTTGGTTTTGGTTAGAGAGCGAGATGTTACTCATAGATAATCAGAAATGTGAATGGGACATGAGTCATAGCAGACTATCCTTTGACATTTCAACTATGAATGATGGTAGATGGTATTGATGTAATATTTATGTTTCGAATTCACACCTTTGTAAATTTTATGGTTCCGAATTCTACACAGTAATCAGATAAAGTAGTTCATGATAATATATACCCTTTTTTAAACTATTTTCTTCAGATAATATTCATCGAAGACGAAACATGTCTGTCAGAGTTGATGAGTGAATACAATATACCTCCTGGGAATGTCCGGCATCTGGACAAAAGGTAAGGGATGATAAAGTTATGTTAACGTCAAACATATTACAATTATTGTGCAATATAAGTAAGTACAAATCCGTGAAGACCCGGTTCAAAATCGGTCTGCCATGTTCGCAGACTTGGCTGATGCATGTCATCGTATCCCAATTGCATAGTTCGATGCTCTTCTGGTCAATCACTGGATCACCTGGTCCAGACTCGATCATTTACACATGTCTTCTGCTGGAATATTGCTGAGTTCGGCGCCAAACAATAGACAAACAAATAAGTAAATGCACAAGAATAGTTTTGGCACGTACATGTATCTGTTTGTGAACGCCGCGGTCAGTGATATTACCGTTTTATTGCGGCAACATGTACATTATCGAGTCTAAGACGTTAAAAGTACTGTTGACATCTCCATCACCGGACCTTTATTGAGATACGACTGTGTCGCCTCTGTCGGCAAGCAGAGAGTGCTCGGTCCAACGCCGAACCGGTCCTTACCTTCAGACTACATCCTCCCGCATATTCGTGTACAGTATCCGTCTGTATGGTGAGGTCAGTACAGGTTGGTTATCTCCTAGGCAGTTCCTGATGCCCGGCATGGTGGACACCCACATCCACGCTCCGCAGTATGTGTTCGCTGGTTCTAACATGGATCTGCAGCTGCGACAGTGGCTCAGCACATACACATTGCCCACTGAAGCGAAGATGAAAGATCTGGACTTCGCCAATGACGTCTGTGATAAAGTCGTGGTGAGATTAATAATTCCATGAAGTAACATGCGAGTCGGTTCTAGAGTTGCTTTGAGCAGTAGGAAAGCATTCATGGGTGCGGGATTTAGAAGTTTACTGAATTTGAAACCGAAATTATAGTGTCTGCAATCCTAAACAACGCGAATCTGGGAGTTGAACCTAATGTAAATGATGGCCCATCTGTGGGACACAGAGCACCTTAGATCACCGGACCACCTATGAAGAAATTTAGTTTCCTAAAGAATAATCTTTTTGTTGATATTGCTGTTCTATTGCCTCAAAGGAAAGGCTAGTTTCCAGCCTTCCGATGATCATTGACATCATATTAAGATATCTACAGAAATATGTTGTGTTTTCTGCTTGTAACAGAACCGTACACTCAAGAACGGAACAACAACAGCGTGTTACTATGCCACAATGTACAGAAATGCCTCGGACGTGCTTTGTAAAGTTATTGGTAAATCCATTTTCACCCACTTCACCTCATGATATGCTTAATGTGAATACATCGCATCCGTAAAGGGTTTATGTACAGAGATGACTTGAACGATAGTTTTTCGATACGTGTTATATTTTGTATCAGAGAACTCACGACTGAGATACTCTATGTCCTGTTGTCATGTAAATTGTGTGATGTTGAACACTAATTTTTTGAACGCTCTCACTCTCTGTGTTGCCTAAGTTGGTCAAATTTTGTGCTGAGTGCGTTTTGGCAACGAGTGGATAACTCAAATGTTTGCTCGCAGGAATCACCATAAATTCCTCGAATAAGCGTATTCTTTATATATAGTTCACAAGGTCCTTTGACCCGAGTTTTATTGGAGGTGGACGTGCTTTTGCAAAATTGCTTTGCAATAGTGTTTCAAATGTCCCCCTCGATGACACTTCATTGCGTCAGTTGAACCTGCATTTATGCTACGGTAGACAGGCATATGGACCAATACCTTGACAGTTAATATAGACTCCATATAAGTGCTATTTAAAAGTTGGTTAATTCTTCAATGCTTTTCATGTTTGCAAAACATGTGAAGGTTGTGTTCATTTCTGTATTAACTTATAATAAGCTGTTGAATCTTATTTGACAAACAGAAAAAAAACTATAAATCAGAAAAGTGCTGTACTGTTGCCTGTTGCAGTTTATAAATATATACGTTTCTGTTGTTGAGCTTCCCAAGCAGGAGGGAAGAATTGCTGTCCAGAGGCAAACCTTTGTCAGAAATGTACACTGACGCCCACATGCGACATCACTATGTTATTATCCCCACTGCAGAAGTGTTCAATCTCCGTGTAACCATTAATGTTTTGAGTGTCGTAAAGCATTTAAAGGGAAGGACCTTGGTTATTTATTATTTGCTTGATATAAATTGACAACGCGTCTCCAAGAGCGTTGTTCCTGAAGTTGTTCATATGTTGCCAAAAAGGCAAAAAACATTATAACAGATGCATCAGTGGTGCAAGAATTGCGTCTCACTGACGCTGTTCATCCGCTGTTCAGAGTACGAATTCGAACTTACACCCGACCGCCACATTACATTGGATACAGCGTCTCCCCGGAGAGCGCAGGGTTAGTGGTCCGATCTCGTACACGCAGCCAAGCTGTATAGATGCCTTAATCTTGAACGCGACGTAAAACCTCACACGCATACCCACCCACGCGAGTTAGATCCTTGAACGTCCTGGATACATTCCATTCCATATGAGGTTCCCATGAAACATTTGGTCAACATTTCATAGCGACAAACACTGAAAGTCATCTATGTTTCAGAGAAAGCTGGACAGAGAGCCTTTGTAGGCAAAGTGAACATACAGACTCAGTATACATTGAAACAGTGGAGGAATCCATTGAAGAAACTAGGAGGTAATATAGTTAATTGCACCAACAATCTGAACGTAACATTTACACTTTACAAAACCTCAACAGTGCAGCGTGTTACAACTGTAACAACTGGAAACCTCACTAACATCGATGCTCTAGTATATTGGCACTACATACATGTAGTTAGATGATGTTCGTGTTCTGCGTCTTGTAAGCATTCATGTAAGACTATATTCACCTGTAGAAAACGTCATCTGGGTATTTTTTTCCTGGAGAATTAGCATCTCTTTGATCTACTTTCCGTGTCTCCGTATTACAGGATTATGATCCCCCCTCCGAGACGACCCTATCTTTTTTTCAGATTTGTCGAAGGCAACATTTTCAAAACGGTAAGATAGGCCTTGTGTTTATCTGCATTTAAAACAAAATTATTTCTTAAAGTAAAAATATTTTTGTTCGCGGAAAAACATCAGTTTGGAGGAAACTCTGCAAACGTATACGTACAGCGGACATTCAAAAATCGAAACGTGAAATCTGCAAACGTAGGTAAGTAACAGTTTTGTTTGCTTATCACTACAATGTGAAGACCTTTCCGTGTTGACAGTGATAACGTGTATGTTGGTTTGTCGGTTTGTTGTTTAACGCCGCACTCAGCAATATTCCAGCTATATGACGGCGGTCTGTAAATAATCGAGTCAGGACCAGACAATCCAGTAATTGATATCATGAGCATCGATCCGGGCAATTGGGATCGATGACATGCATCAACCAAGTCAGCGAGCCTGACCACCCGATCCCGTTAGTCGCCTTTTACGACAAGCATAGTCACCTTTTACAGCAAGCATGGGTTGCTGAAGGGGTATTCTCAGGACGACGACCCCTCGAATTTTTCCATTCGCAGGACGACGACCGCCGGTACGCCTTTGATGTGTGGTGTTGTTTTAGGAGGGGATTAACTCCTTGGTTAGTGTCAAAAACTGTAATGTGTCTTCTTGAGTTGTCCAGTATGGTATATTTCCTAAGATCTCTATTGTAACATGATACATACCTTAGATAACTTCGTGCCTTATTTGATCTGTCACTACCATGATCGTTGACAAAACAAAGGAATTTGCCAAGCATTGTGTTACATGAAGAAATATTGTCCTCAATATTGGTATGCAATTGATAATTCTTTATTCATTTATTTGTTTTATAGATAAATTTTATTTCATTTCCAATACATGTTAACAACTATATTGAGTAGGCAATGAACAATGTTTGAAGTGATAAGACTAATACATAGATAAAATATTTTATGAACGCTTCATGAGTCTAGCAGTCAGTTGCTTCCATTTTTTGTTATGACAATTGATTCTGTTGTTTTTCTTTGAAATTTATTTTACAACAGACAATAGCCCAATGATAAACATACGTGTGTATACATGCACTAGTATGCACGCACTATATGCACCTGGTGTCACGGTAATTGGAATAATATGATTTGAAATAGTATGTGTCATGTTTATTATGACTTTTGCTCATTGAAGAAGGACGATGCAGTCGTGTATATTGTCTTAATATTGCAGCTAATATAAAGATTTGGTACCTGCATCTGGGTATATTCCTGAAGTTCGAATCTGTCACGAGTGAGTTAGTATGATTTTATTTCGGAGTTATATTCCGGAGTATAATCCACATGTGAGCAGTCGTGTCAATGAAAACGGAGCTTTATTTTACATACATATTTTCTATTTTTCAAATTAAAAGCAACAAAACACTTCCATATTCATAAGACATTTCTGTCAATAGAGTCGATTGGACGATTCCGACTATGTCATTAGCATGTATTTATGAACCACTATCAAATAGTGATGATACCAGGTGTTCGCAGAGAGGTGTGCATACCCTCCTCCACCGGTGGCACCCGTCTTGATCACAAACACATACAAAGGCAAGTCATCTGTTCATCTGAAAAAAGCATATAGTGCAAAACAATAGGGAATAGAATCGGACATCATTCTTGTCACTGGTGCGTCAAATTTGGAAATGTCCTACACGTCTGCCATGAAACGTTTTTTAAAACTTTTCTGAGTCTTGTAACCTTGATCAAGCTGCTTCTGAACAGGAACAAATGATGTGTCGTTAAGCATGCCAAGCATATTACATTCCATTGTGGACCCATGAAGAATTAGAATAGTCTTCAGCAACCCATGCTTGCCGTAAAAGACGACTTTGCTTGTCGTAAGAGGCGACTAGCGTGGTCGGGTGGTCAGGCTCGCTGACTTGGTTGATGTATGTCATTGTATCCCAGTTGCGTGGATCTGTGTGCGGCGTCCAACAAACAAACACAAACAGACAAGACAGTCTATCGTATACACACTGACTTCGTTATTTTTTTATTTCAGAACCCTCTACTAACCCCAATAATAACACCGCGATCCATCAGAACATGCTCGGAAGAACTTATTAAGTCTCTTGGACAACTTAACCAAACATACCGGCTCCCTGTTCAGGTGAGTTCAATTGTGTGAGAGTTCGCTTAGTTTGCTTTATGTTTTTGATATGTATTGATTTCAAGCGCATTTTAATAATTATTAATTTAATTTTAATTTAATATCGTTTCATATTAAACCACGTGGGGTTTAATGGACAGATAGATACCTAGCAACCTCTGTTGATCGAAAGAGGCGTCCAAAGGGATCGGGGGATCAGAATCGGTTGTTGACGTGTCTGATCGCATCTTCCCGAGGCAAGGGAGTTAACTGACTGTAAAAGTCCAGATTCCACCTTTGACGAACTAGGCTGGAATTTCCATGTTCGATCGTGGCGCCACCAGTGGCTATTACGAGTTATGTCCCTTTAATGTCCCTCCTTTTGACCAAGCCGGTTCAACCTGTCATACTTGCATCTGCTTAAAAAGATATGGCGGCGCCCAAATAAGACGATCTGATTGATAATCAGTATCTTTATCATAATAAAAAGGAAACTGTCTCGACAATTGCAGCAAATAACTTAAGTACCTCGATTAAAAACCTGAAAATATTTGGAAAATATCTATCGACGGCCAGTTGACGGCACACATGCTGTGCAAATCCTGCAGTCGAACAAATTTGCACGTGTTGTTAGAAATCGGATGTCGATTTCCTTCCACGATTTTGATTGGACTATGCATTGACTCATTAGTCCCGCCAAACTGTAACTCCATAATTCCTGCCCAGTTCGGTCATGGCGAAAGTGGACTTTTATGGCCAGTAAACTCCTTTGCCTCGGGAATGTAGTCTGATCCACTAGCGATTATTTACGGCTGGAATGTTACTGCGAGAGACGTTAAACAACAAAATGAACAAACAAACAATATATCTGATAGGCCAACGAAGGGTGTTGTTATAGCTGACTTCATCCACACACAAAGACAAAGTATATATCTTTCTGAAATTATAATGATAAAGCTTACTCAGAACATCTTTTTCAGACGCATATCCTAGAAACACGAAGTGACATAATTCCTGGATGTCAGAACCATCTCGATGTATGGGATAAGCATGGACTTCTCACAAACAGGGTATGTTGTACATACAAGAGTTAACACAACGAAATCACAAAATAAGGTCAGAAAATAATAGTAGCCCAAATTTGTATTTTATATGTCAACTGTTTACATATCAACAAGTAATATTTTAACATACTATATTATTAGTATCGAAGCCCTTCGTGTCCATGCATATATCTGTTTCTAAATAGCTTTAAAGCTTGTTCTTAAAACGTATTGATGTTAATTTAGCTGTTTACATTATTATTAATATTATATGGCAAGTGCACAAATTTGAGACTGTATTTTACTAGTGTTGGCCTATATCTTGTCATAGTGAGTATCACCGTCATTCCTTCACACCAGACAATATTGGGTCACTGCATATACTTGTCTGACAACGAACTCGACTTGCTCAAGCTACGTGGATGCGGAATAGCACATTGCCCGAATTCTAACATCACGTATGTATTTAAACGTGTCCACCAAAATATATCTACATTGATCATACCATAACGTAACTGACTGTCCGGAAACCATATTTTATACATATATGCCAGTTTTTATAAGACCCTTTTCAGAACTTGCTGGGATTTTGTATCGAAATTAGATGTTGTTTTACAGCTTCAGCTGCAAACCCAGTAGGGATGTCACGTTAAATCGAAATATCGATATATTGCTATTGGTAAGCACTGGAAGTCAATAAATCGATCCTTAAATCAGTTTCCGGTCAATAGTATCGATTTCATTTAGGAATATCGATAGTTTCGATTGTATTTACCATATCAATAAAATATATTCAATGCTGTTCAAATTTGTTTTTGGAAGTTTCTTTTTCTTAAATTATTTGGGTAATGAAAACACAAATCAGTCACATCTCAAACCTTATTTTTTATTTGTTGTTATGTTTATCACATTCAAAGAAAAGTTAATTTCAAAGATTTAATTCAACTAAACTAATACACTGAAAACAATCGATGTTTATCGCAGTAGTTGCTTGCAATATCAATAGTTATCGCGATAGTTTCTTTCAATATCTATAGTTATGGCAACAGTGATTTCCAGACAAATATTTATACCCAGATATTTGTTTGTATTTAAAACAATGATCTTGATTTTTTTTAAAAAGAACCTACACCCGAATCTGAAATGGTCGGCTCACTAATGTGTTCTGAACTGTGTTTAGGTATTACAGGAATACCCTGAGACCTCCATATATCTTTGGACCTTCCTCCCACATAAAGCTGAACGGAAGTGATGTAAAGGAAATACGGTTGTGGGTTGCTCCTGCCTCGAGTGATATTAGCCGCTATCAAGTTCTTGTTTTTATCTATAGGCTTAGAAGCGGACTCCTTGACGTGAGGCACGTGCTGAATATGGGCTGCAAGATTGGACTTGGAACTGGTACAAAGAAGGATTCTTCTCACCAAGATCTAAGGTCTTAGTGAGCTTAACTTTTTTATCCACAGGAAAGGATCCCCACAACCATAGGCTCATAATGGGCGAGTAATTGAAAAGGGTGGTCAGGCCCGTTGACATGATTAATTTAATGTCATAATAGTGCTATCAGTGCTCGAGACTGTTATATATCAGCCATCATGAAATAAATTGTACATCGATGACAACGCCCTTAAACCTCAAACACATTACAAATGACTGAAAGTTCTTTCACCTCTTTATTTGTTATGTTAAAAACCTTTTCTGGTTATTTGATTTAAGTACTGGGTCTGGAGGCGACGACTGGCAGGGTTTGCCATTCCGAACTATGTTCTTGTCGATGCCTATATATATATATATATATAGTATTGTCTTTGAAACATACATTGAAACGTACCTCTATATATACAACCGAATAATCTGTCAAAAATACCCTCCATATACATTACATATATACACTACTGCCTAAAAGTTCATTCTCCTAACACGCGTTGAGACTACGTGTACACACGCATGTTGCACACGGGTTTAGCACCCGTTGGACACGCGTGTGCAACGGGTGTGCAGTGCGTGTACAATCCGTTGAGCACGCGTGAGTCACTCGTTGCACACGGGTGTGCCATGCGTGTAACACGGGACAGGGTTTCAGTTAAAGTTGGAAAATATGTCCAATTGATAGTGAAATAAATCAAAACAGTGAGATGTGAATCTTGAGTTAATGAGCAGCCATTGACCAGTGTTCACCAGACCCTGAACACAAGGTCAGCCTGTCTTAATTAGTGTTCGGTTGCTGGACTTTTATGGCATGAACCATTCCACGAGGGTCCAGTCTAGCCATTGTGGCTACCCGACAGTAGAACAGTAGTGAGTTTAGAAGCGAGTTTATTGCTAGGGAAATCCCCGAGTTGACACGATCTTCGCGGGTTGGTAAATGCCCGCCAATAATGAAGTGATTGTTTGTGGATTGCGAACATATTCGTTTTAAATTTGCCCACGTGAGTCATTCAGGGTGACTGCAAATATAACGTTTTTCGTTCGCCAAATTTAGGCTTTAGATAGTACAATTATCATAGAACAGTGATCACTGCTTATGTCTTATTATATCACGTAGGAATATGTCCCATTTTCCCACACCAAACTTTCTGTTTGGTATTTTGTAGAATTATTAAGAGAAAGTTTTGTGTGGGACTTTACATTTATCACTAATTCTATGAGGATATTGGAAGTGAATATGAACAGCCATTTTGTCTCACTGTTGATAGAATTTTAGATCTTCACAATCACCGAGTGTGACCATGTACACAGAACCGCGTTAGGGTTTGTGTTTTTTACATTTGCCCAATCACCCTGGTGAGTGTTGTTGGGGATACCAAAGGTGACAGTTTACTATCAGAGGAAATTGGTTGTGAGTACTTATTCCATTTGGATAGGATTTTAATCCTTTCTTTCTCTGTGGGTAATCCTGTCACGTTGAAGGAAGGAAGTCACTCAACCAGGTCATGACAATGGTTATGCGCAAGGCTCGGAATCGCGAAAAGATCACTGGAGGTGTTGATGGAGGCTGGACATGCAGCATACAGTATTTCCAGTGTAGGCTGGCACCTCGTCTTTGTTTCACTTGGTATTTAAAACCTTGACCATTCACAGGGGCATTTGTCTATTTACAATGAAGTTGTTTAGCGTTCCCAGTATTTCTATACTATCTCACTGATTACTTGTTAATTGGCCACTGCAAGTGCCTAAATTATTTAAATTTCAGTGAACTGAGTTTATTCACATGTTAGCTTTCAAAGGTTGTGATGGATACTTGTATAATCCTCAGTTGAGTTTACTCACTAACGACTGTGAGCGTTTTGGCATGACTTCTGTATAACTTGTATAACTGCTAAAAGCGGCGTAAAACCATGCTCACTCACAGTAACTGTTAATCCTCTCCATTGTGCTGGCAAACTGGGGAAAGATCTGTGACGATCAAACTTAGTTGGAATCCTTGTTTATCTGTGACATCTTCCAACTGGTGACATTTTAGTAAACTTCAAAAGTGATGATGAATTTTAATATTCATATTATTATAGTTTTTCAAATTGTAAATAAAACTTTGATAAAATTGTGCTACACTCTCTGGGAAAATGCATTGTCTGTGGGTAAGTTTATATGTCACGTCACATCAGCATTTATTCAGTTATATTGCGGCGAAATAATTGCAAGTTTGCAACAATAGATGAATAAGTTGATAAATTTGGACCGCAGTTACCGATTAACAACTTAAGACATAGAGACAGGTCGTCGATATTAGAACAAACGTTATGATCCTGTTAAGACGATTGACAGTTAGAATGTTGGAGTAAATGGCCATATATTGTAGGGTCAATCGCTTTTGACATGTTTAAACTCACTTTAAGGCACACGACAAGTCAACACCTGCCGCCCTGATTATGTTCTTATGTTTGACAGCAACTATGCCCGTGGATTTCAGAGAAAGATATGATTTTTACCTTGATGTTATTGCAATGAGCGAAAATGTCTTCAAAGTCCACAGTTTGTTAAATAGTACAAAAATAAGAGTGTTAAAAATCAACGTTTTCTTTTATTGAACACAATATTTGAACTGTATTGCTGTAAATAATCTAGTCTGCTGCCTATGTAACTGAAAGATATTTATGTATGATCTTCATATGCCACGTCTTATGACCTCTATTATTCCTGACCGCCTCCGTGGTCTTGTGGTAGAGCGTCCGCCCGAAGAGCGGAAGGTCCAGGGTTCGATCCCGGGCCGCGTCATACAAAAAGACGTTAAAAGATTGCACTTGTTGTTACCCTGTCTGGCGCTCGGCATTAAGGGGCTAAAACAAGGACTGGTCGGCTCGGAGTCAGTATACTGTGTCTGAGTGGGGTATTCATGTTAAACTGCGGCATGGTATCTCAGTGAGCTAGCACTATAAATCGGCATCAGTCCGGACTAGTACAAGCAGCCACACACACACTTACACTTGCATGCACGTCGCTATATAAGTGCAATAATCTTGGTCGCGACGTTAAACCCAATTTCACCTCACCTCACCTCTATTATTCCTGCTGACGCTATCATAATGTTCAATTTCAGTCTGGCACTCCAAGCGTGAATAAGCATTACACATATGTTAACATAAACCACACTGACGCATATACAGTTTTGTAGATATGAAACATTCTAGCTATTCTATTTTATTCTAGAATGTTACCCTATGAGATATGTGATCTACAGGTTCAGCCATTTCCAATTTCCTCCACTAGTTATTGGAAACGTTCAGGAAAATATTTCCTTTCTCCCTTAATCCGATCTGTCATGCATGTAACACATATACTTAGTGAGAGCTTTATATAAATCCATACAATAAACTAATGTTCATTAATTATGATATTGATGGGTGTAGGGAACAGTCATTGAACAGTATTGACAAATACTCTAAAATATATGACTGGTAAACCATTAATATACGTTGAAGAATATAAATTGTAAATGCCAGAATGATGTATCTAGGATCAAGTAGAAGATATATGGACAGTAACGCTGGGAATTTATTCAACAAGCCCGTGAAAACAACACTGCTTCAGCTCAATGTTTACCACTCCTGGCGGCCATTATGCAACGCCATCTTAAACACAACCCCGCGCTCACGTCTACAGGTCTTTTCCTGATGTACGGTAATTAGTAGAACCCCCTCCCTCAAGTGTATCCTCCATGATATAACCTACTCTCATTAATTAAATGCTGCCCTTTCCCAGCATCACGACTATAGAGCTGAGACAAAGAGACCCAAGCATCATAAAGTAATTAGGGTCTAATAAAAACAATGCTCCACCAAACCTCATAAACATGATCACTGAAAGTCGTGCTGCAGACGTTTAATGTCAACTCACAAAAAAACCCATTTAAATAGCAATAACATTTAACAGGAACATGTATTCTCTTAACTTCATCGCAAAACATCATGTAGAAGCCACATCAGTAATCATGTCTAAAAATGAGACATCAGCAAGTACTTATAATAAAATGTGTGTTAACATTTTTCCTCAAGAAATCCAAAGGTTATCTCCTTGTTACCACCTCCAGGTTCAGCTAAACATGGGTCCTCCTTTGGTCAAAAGTTTGTTCCCCCTCTAATGAGTGTGACACGCGTTGCACACGAGTGACGAACGGGGTGTACACCCGTGTTCAACGCGTTGCAAACGGGTATCACACGCGTGGCGGACGGGTTCCACACGAGTGACCAACGGGGTGCACACGGGTTGCGTAACGCGTTGCCCATGCGTGTAAGGGGAATGAACTTCTAGGCAGTAGTGTATATCGCACAGACAAACATCCTAACTCATATCATCCATCGAATACGCAATTCATATGCATGCAGTACACCATATACCAGTGTACTACAATTGCAGATTGTCGTATGAGGCGACCTCCGTGACTTGCTGAATTGTCACTGGATTGTCTGGGCCATACTCCATCCATTTTTTACAGACCGCCATCCTGTCTCCTGACTATTGCTGAGTGCGCCGCAAACCAATAAAGAAACCAATAATGTGTACAGTGCGAAAACGTTAATTAATGAAATAAAAATAATAATTCCTTCTTGAAGCCAATGGAGAAACGATTGGAAAGAGATGTTTTAATAACGGCATTTTGTCATGAATACACAATGCCCTTTTCTTCTTTTCAGACGTGGCTGGAGGATACAGCAGCTCCATTTTGGATGCTTTACGCTCTGCCTGTCAGATTTCAAAAACTCTTGCGATTCAAACTGATGGAGGAAGCTACAAGGCCTTGACATACCAGGCACTATTTCGACTTGCAACATTAGGTGGAAGTGAAGGTTCAACGAAAGTTTTCAAATATTTTCTTTTTCAGTGCATTTGGTTAGGATCTGATATGACCATTACATTTATAACAGTTTGGAGACATTTAGAGCAATATCCACTACGCATTCTTCCCTTGATTCAACAGAGTGAAGTGGGGGCACGGGTGGCCGAGTCGTCTAAGGTGCCGCGATTCGCTGTGCAGAGTTGCGTCCCTTGGGCACGCCAGAAACCTATGATTGTGGGTTCGAATCCCGGTTCGCCCCAATTAAGCTTCTAGGTTTGCCAGCAATATACCCGTGATCGTGGGTTTCACCGAAGTGGTAAACGTCTGAGACCTGCTTTCCTCCCACATGAAGCTGACACGCCGTGATATAGCTGGAATAATGTTCAAAGCTGCGCTAAACCCAACTCACTCACTCACATACCTGAAGTCTCTATCTATAATTTGAATTCGTACGCAGTATTTCTCAAGATTAAATATTAAGATATATCATAGGCTCTGGGACATCTGAACTAGAAACAGTTCCCACAACTAACCGCCTCGTGCATCACATACTTACATCATAATGCAATATAATATATTGACATAAGAATCCAGAGCATAATGATACAATGTAGTAACTGTCGCACTACTCACATACTACTGGACAATCTCGTTGAATATGAGACTAAAGAATAACAGATTAATTCAATAGCGCAGATCATTAACTGAATATAGCATGACAAATTGTTAATTCATAAACGATTTGTCACGTTATATTTTTAATGATTTTAAATTGTGTAATTTGGTGGAACATGGTGAAAATATTCTCATTGGAATTGGAACGACTAACGAGTAATGCACTCTTAAACTACTTCTCTCTCGATATTGATAGGAACGCATATTATACAATTTATACTAATACCACCCGCAGTAATAAGGTTCACAGTGCTCATGAGTGATGTTTGTTTGTTTGTTGTTTGTTGTTTGTTTAACGACACACTCAGCAATATCTGCTGTATGACGGCGGTCCGTAAATAATCGAGCCTCTACCAGACAATATGGTGTTTGACATCATGAGCATCGATACGATGGGATACGATGACATGCATCAACCAAGTCAGCGAGCCTGACCAACAAGCATTGTCGCCTTTTATGGCAAGCATGGGTTGCTGAAGACCTATTCCACCCCGGATGTTCGCGGGTCCTCATGAGTGAAATGAATATCCGGTGGTTACAGTGGATGATATTGATCACGATAAATTACCTCAATATGGAGTTATCTTAACTTTCATCCACAGGAAAGGATCCCCACAACCATAGGCTCATAATGAGCGAGTAACTGAAAAGGCTGGTCAGGCCCGTTGACATGATTGATTTAATGTCATCATAGTGCTATCAGCGCTCGAGACTGTTATATGTCAGCCATCATGAAATAAAATTGTATATCGATGACAACGCCCTTAAACAACAAACACATCACAAATGATTGAAAGCACTTTCACCCCCTTAGCGTATTTGTTATGTTAAAAGCCTTTTCTGGTTATTTCATTTAAGTACTGGGTCTGGAGGCGACGACTGGCAGCTTTGTCGTGGGAAAGGACTTTGACGCCATTTTGGTCGACCCATTGGTGGCGGATTCGCCGTTTGATGTCTTTTCTACTGACACTTTCTCTGATGTACTTCAGAAGTTTCTGTTCTTAGGTAAGGAAAGGCAATGAATAAATTATCCTTATAATGCAATAGGATATAGGATATGATAGGAATTTTCAGGCTTGCTCATGGAACAGATTTGTGCAGAATGGAGAAATATAATAATACACCTTTTATAGGCATTGGTGTGCATTTTGAGAACGTTTTTTATGGATGTCAGCTACTATAAAGATTCCGACATCCAAAACCCTTCCAAACAAACGACTATGTCGCATGTTTTTTTCGCCAGGGGATAAAATATCATTTTATGGCAGGGTCAAGAGATCAGTGTTACTGTTGTATTTATATCTAGAGTTGTATTCGGCTACATACATGAAAGTCGTGCCATATTTATGCAAGGTGGTACCATATTTAGGCAAGGTGGTGCCATAGTTAGGCAAGGTGGTGCCATAGTTAGGCAAGGTGGTGCCATAGTTAGGCAAGGTGGTGCCATATCTAAGCAAGTTGGCGCCAAATTTAGGCAAGGTGGTGCCACATTTAAGCAAGGTGGTGCCATAGTTAGGCAAGGTGGTGCCAAATTTAGGCAAGGGGGATGCCATAATTAGGCAATGTGGTGCCATATTTATGCAAGGGGGTGCCATATTAAGGCAAGGTGGTGTCATATTTAAGCAAGGTCGTGCCATATTTAGGCAAGGGGGTGCCATATTTAAGCAAGTTGGTGCCATATTCAAGCAAGGTGGTGCCATAGTTAGGCAAGGTGGTGCCATATTTAGGCAAGGTGGTGCCATATTTAGGCAAGTTGGTGCCATGTTTAAGCAAGGTGGTGCCATAGTTAGGCAAGGTGGTGCCATATTTAGGCAAGGTGTTTCATGTTAATAATGTCAACTTAACACCATAAGATGGAATTATGAAGGTATTGGTATGAAACTATTATTCCAGCCATGGCGGTAATTCAAGGGAAGACCTCTTCGTGTGCAAGGAAGTCAATATTTGAAACCTTTGTGGTCACCACAAAAAAGTCACTTGGATTACCAGGTCAATTAGTAACGTATTTTGATATGGCGCAGCAAGTGAGGGAACCCCGACCTTCCGCTCTCAGTGGGATCTTTCTCCCTCTAGACCAAGTAGGCAATCCTTTAGTGGTATGGGTAAACACAAATAAAAGAAAATCTTGCTAGAATTGTAACCTTGCAATATCATTTTCGACGACTTGCCGACGATTACTATTTATTTTCTTAAATATCCCCATGACAATATATAACCGAGCAGTTGTTTTTCTAAACAGGTGATGACAGGAACATGATTGACGTGTTTGTGTCTGGGAAGCGGGTGTGTGGAAATAATAAAATGGAAAACCCACGACAACCCATTGTCCAGAAGTACAGGACACAAGCTGACATATATCACATCGAACACAGGATACTGAGGTACCATTTTGCACCACTTAACACATGATTCAGATGTTGTATCTGAATCTACAGTATACCTTTGGAGGAATACAAGGCTCCAGCGAAACCCGTGCTCGAGGAATTTACCAAAGTGATAAATAGCGAAAACACTTAGTCGTTACACCATCATTCAGGTGAAGGCTGATTAAAAACTGAAATACTGTTTTAATGAGCGTTAAGTCAAACTCATAGAGATCCTTAGCCACGATCATCGCTTTTTGTGACCCCCGAGGAAAGCGGCACTGGACATTGATTTGTGCAACATCAGTTATTTCCGAGGCCCGGATAACAGCAATGGCGTTCTTTAAGTGTTCATAAAATACTGGAGTATTCATGTGTATGGTACAAAGTGTTCCGCCTTATTAAAATTATGTGTGTAACATACTGATATAAACACATAATCAGATTTGATTTTTCTCTTAGGCTCTCCATGTTACACCTACAATTAATAACCCTGTCTCTACTTCCTCTGTGACTCTGATACAATGCTAACGTTTAAAATCACATTGGCCATATCATTAATTCTACAGCTGAAAGCAGTTAATGAAGAAATAAACACACTTGTTTGTACGCGTAAGTTTGAAAACTACATATAATTTTATTATCACCCATAAGAACACAGAAGCAGGGTTGTGTCCTCAATAACTTCATTTTAGCAAGCTAGTCAAGGCTTCTTGTATCCCATTAACGAAAATGGTCATGCGCATGTTATATAAGTGGACACCATCTTCCCAACAACCCAGGATATCTGGCTACGTTATCTGAATGTTGTATTGCTACATTTTAATGGTATTGATGCATTAACCTGATTGAAGGTCCCCAGGCATGTCTACTAGGTTGTCTGAGCCTAAGTGTATTATCAGTATGTCAGGAGGTGCGCTATGTTTCAGCTGACGTAAATTGTAGAAGCTAGCTTGTTCCTTTTTATGCCCAATATTGCTACGCACTTCGGCTGTGCTCTAATTCTGGTCAATATTCAGATGTTTGGTGAATCCCAGAGACGTTGCCCTTCCGATCCCTGCCCCCTGAAGTTGTAGGAGCCCACTACCCAGGCAACTGCAAAGCCTGCAAAGCTTTCGATATGATTATTTACTTGCTCACATAACGAAATTGACAAAAAGGAATGTAGCTCTTAAATGACTCTGCCTTCTATCAATCTGACAGTTTAATCGCACTTGATGGAACCCCTAAAATAGCTAAATTTGTGGCTGCTCCAATACGGAAAGAATGTGTCCATTATCCAAAGCCAAAAACCTGAGAGCATTGTGCAGAACTGATGCAAAGTGTTATCTAGTAACTGTTGGTGAGTGAGTGAGTGCGTTTGCTTTTACGCCGCTTTGAGCAATATTCCAGCAATATCACGGCTGGGGACACCGGAAATGGGTTTCACACATTGTACCCATGTCGGGATTCGAACTCGGGTTTTCAGTGTGACGAGCTAACGTTTTAACCGCTAGGCTACCCGACCGCCCCAGTAACAGTTGGTGTTCGTGCAGATAGATAACTTGACATGGCTTGAACTGGACAAATGTTGTCGCTGTTAGCCCTCAAGCCCAATGTACAGGAACGGCTTGTCTTGGAAAATCGAATTCAAATTGCTAATTTCATTGGTTGAGCCTAAAATTTCCCAACTGCAGCACTGAGCTAGCATTGTGTGTGTGTGTGTGTGTGGGGGGGGGGGGGGGGGGGGTGTGAGACTTGACAAGATCACCGATGCGCAAGAAGGCAAAAAAGGCTAATGAAAGCATACTGTGTCTTCGGCGCTTGAATGAGTGAGTGAGTGAGTAATACTTTTTAGTCACATCGACAACATTTCAGTCATATCGTGACTATCAAGGGTTAAACGTAATAAATACATTGAAACTTATATATAAAAAAAAATGCCAACGAAGAACAGTAAAATAACTAGACTTATCACAGAAAAAGATATAAATCTGGTATGGAATCATGAACAGGATAGCACTATACAAAACAATACAAGATAAAAACGTGCTATAGATCGCCAGCCACTGAAGGGAGCCACCATACAGGGGAACTTTGGGACTCACAGTCCCTTTGCTCCCTGCATGGACCCCAGCAGGATTTACATCATACCTTCAATGTTAGCCACATTTATAATTACAAATATTCTACGTTTAGAGGAGTAATAGGCAGAAACATTCTTTGAATGACATGGATTTACGATATTCTCTCAGAGGGACAATAATTTTACTCTACGTCAACCCCTTTGAGGATACAGCAAGTAACAAACTCAGATATAAATTCATTCTACCAATTTTAAAGGGTCATTTATTTTAAACAAAACATCAAAATTTATTATACCATTCTATTTCTTTTAAAAAAAACAATAAGTAAATGAGAATTAATATTTAATTTATTAAAAATATCCTTAATGGATGATGATTTGAAATATTTATCCCTTGTGATTGCAAAATCAATACAGTCAAGCAGGACATGTTTGACAGTGATTCTCTCATCACAAGGGATACAAAATGGAGAATCCTCACCTTTCAAAAAACAATCATTTGTATACCTGCTATGGCCAATGCGACATCGTCATATTATGACCTCTTCAAATCTAGACTGACAACCCAAGTAGGTGTAACCAATAGTTGGTTTTATTTCACTTCTTTTGCATCAGCTCTCGGATGTAACATCTGATCACTGGTTTATAATCGCTGTATGGAATTTGAAGTGGCGTCACAGATTTGTTAAGAGCTGCTTTAGCTGCAGCATCAGTCATTGTGTTACCATTATTCCAACATGGTTGCGTAACCAGCAAAATACAATGTCGTATTGGCCAGTAGCAAGATCATTATATAATTCAACAAATTCTAATAAAAGTGGATGATGGCATGCATTATTTTGAATAGCCTGAAGACATGAGAGAGCCATTGAGTGTCAACAAGGATGGTGCTGCAGTGGAAGCCAGGCTGCAACACCAGGGCTACAGGGGTGTTACACTCCAGAAATAAAGATAGCTGTCATTTATAAAAGGACCAATGTCAGGCTGGTTCGGCCCATGGTATTTTCCTATAAAAACACAGAATTCAGCGGTCCGTATCACCAGATTGGCCCATGAGCCACCGCCTTTTGGCACAGGACTCTAGGCAAAATTTTATTTGACATAACGAAGGTCATCATATATTCTTGTCATAACCTGTGTGATAGGATATGTCTAAATTATCAAATATCCCATGCACAGGGCATGGCGTGACCGGCCGATTGATATAATCGGGCCCATCCTTCCACCCGTCCAGGTGAAGTAAGGGTCGAAGTGAACAGCTCAGTGTACACTACCACAAATCAATTTTGGAAACATTGCCCCCCTTCAGCTTTTCTCCTCACCACCATGTCAGTTAGTGAAGCCAGGGGTGGACCAATTTATCAACAAAAATATAATACATTACGAAGCACATATGATACTTACAAATTACAATATTACAGACGGATCCAAGGGTAGTGACGCTGTTACCAGCACCACTGTCCTTTGATTCAGGACTATCTCATCCAGATTACCTGGTAACCTGATTCTATTTTCAGAGCAGAGGCAAATGCTATTTTATCATCACTAAAATATATCAACATCCAAACTAACCATAATCAGTTCATCATTTCCTCAGATTTTTCTTTCTTGCCTTCAGGCTATTAATATAAGACACCTTCCACACATCCATTTTGAATTGAAATTGTTGAATTGTTTAATGATCTTGCTACTGGCCGATACAACATCGTTTTCTGTTGGTTACCCAGCCATGTTGGAAACACTGGGAACGCAATGGCCGATGCTGCTGCGAAAACAGTCCTCAACAAATCTGTGACGCCACTTCTTATCCCATATAGCTTTATCAAACCTGTGATCCGGTGTTACACCAGAGATCTCACGCAGAAGTGAGACACCTAAGTAGGTATCAATATATTACATGAGATAAAACCGACAATAGGTTACACCTGCTTGGGTTGTCAGTCCAGATTTAAAGAGGCCATTATGCGACGAGTGTTTGATAAAGGGTGTGGTTCCTCCGTTCTGTATCCCTTGTGTTGAAAGAATCACGGTAAAGCATGACCTGCTTGACTATAGATTTGTCCATCACAAGGGATCAATATTTCAAGTTTCATCCATAAAGGCTCTTTTAATAAAGTTCTCATTTAATCATAGCGTGTTTTTTTTTAAAGAAATAGAGTTAATTGATAAAGTTTGATGTACACAGTTATTATTTTACGAAAAGGTAGTTTATGATTATTAACCGCCTGTTTATGACTGTGCCCTGGAAGGGGGTTGAAGTAAAATTATGATTACCCTGAGAGGGTATCAGAAGACCGCATCATTCAAATCTTGTTATTCCTACCTCAGTTTTCAATCGTAGAGTGAGTGAGTAGGGTTTTACGCGGCTTTTAGCAATATTCCAGCAATATCACGGTGGGGGGCACCAGAAATGGGCTTCACACATTTTACCCAATCGATCCCGGGTCTTAGGCGTGACGAGTGAACACTTTAACCACGAGGCTACCCCGCCGCATTTTGGCCGAAGGAAACCATAGAATTGACTTCATGTGAATCGAATCCGGGTCTTCATTATGTCTAATATACCAATTAACACTGTAATCACAAGGCTACACAATCACCCTCAGGAGGGGCGGTCGGGTAGCCCAGTGGTTAAAGCGTTCGCTCGTCACGCCGAAGACCTGGGTTCGATTCCCGACATGGGTACAATGTGCGAAGCCCATTTCTGGTGTCCCCGACGTGATATTGCTGGAGTATTGCTAAAAGTGGCGTAAAATCAAACTCACTCACTCACTCACCCTCACGAACATAGTTGAACCTAAGAGTACATCATCACAGTTGTAGTATACCTTAGTTCATTCGTATCATCAACAGGGAAATGATATTTAAGCCGCAAAGTCACATTTCAGTTAATTCTTTTTATTTTCTGAAGTTCGAAGAAGTTATAGAACAAAAAAATGTTGTAAAACACGCATCCATTTTTGTCTTCTGATGCTGCTAAG